TCAAATAGCCGTTTTTACGAAAGACGTTCTTCTGTAATAATGTGTGACTCACTAAATAAAGGCACAACATTGTTTTGCCGGTATCGTGTTCGACGTTCTTCTCGTCGAGGATGCGTCGAATGAACTAAAATTTGACCTTGAAATATTATTCTGAAAAGTGACCTGATTGTCACAGTCAGTAGTCATGAACCCAGAGGTGCACAAACCTTCCTACTTGCCTACAATGTAGGAGACAGGAAAGAGCCGAAGAGGGTAGCCGCGAGACAGATTTCAGTTTGTGTTTTCTGTACAAAAATGACTTTAAAAACAGCTAACTGGTAGCAATTGGTCGGTACAATCAGCTGTCAACGGCATTTGGTCATTACATTTCTTTACGTGTCTTCAAAAACAGTTCCTACAAATCTCCTCCATGAGACACCCACGAGACAGTTCCCATTGGATTAACATTGTGTCTCATGAGACACCGTGTAGGTAAAATGTAGGATGAAAAACTGCGAAAGTGGTGGGCATGTTCCGAAAAACGGCGCACAAATTCTTGGGGCGCCTATCAGTTAAAACAAAACTCCTGTTCGAAAATGGGTTCTGGTAAAGTTTCGTCAGCTGGTTTCCATAGCAACCGCCATTCGTGGGACAAGCTGACGCCATTTGCTAGCGCGTTGCGTGGTAACCAGCTATCGGTGTCAGTTGAATTTGAAAGATAATTGTAACAGTGAACAGCTCGCTTCAGTTGCTGTACTGTGCTGTGGATATGTGTCTTGTGCAGTGTAAGCAAAGTGTATAAGGACTTTCACATTATATTTTGTGATGGTGTGGTAATAGAAGGTTGTGAGCTCCAAGTGGAGTTAAGGAATTGCCAAAGAAATGAAAACTCTGCATGGGCCGGAAATCTGCAGCCTGCACTTCTATAAACTCTTCATAAGAGGTTCGTGGCAGGGGGCATTTTGGGGAGCGATTATGGTAGGTACCCAACCTAATTGGCTTGATGAGAACTGAAACTGAAAGTCAAATGAATTGTGAAATTGCTTTACCTATCCTATCTGATCACTTCTACTTATTTTTTTTTTTTTAATTTTCCATTCATTTTGATTCATAAAGAACAACATTGAAAGATGCTAACATGCAAGTAACTACCTACCTAGCTCTAATGTAAATAGGTACCTAATAATTTCCTTCAAAAAAAAATATATGGCTCTTCAATGTACTGGAGATTTAGTAATTGAAGGCATCTCACTTCATTTTGAACATTGCCTAGGTATAACTTCCATAAACTGCATGACAAATTTTCAATTTCCTTGTTGTAACATCAAATTATTCATGTTTTATAGACAGGTACCTATACAGCAAAAATGCAACAGAGATATGTGCTTATTTTCGACATAGGCTTTGTGTTCAGTCGTGTATATAATAATTTTGTGGGTGGAAAATGTGTCATGAATTGTCTACAGGTCTGTGTAGAATTGTAATTAATATGATTATAGAAAAAGGAATGGTCGGTTAAGTAGTCAACATGTTTAATCAATAACAAGATATGCTGGCATGGAGTTTGCTCATGAGTTTGCTCAAAAACCTTTCAGTTAGTGTGGGAAGCATAGCAATTTGAAGCATATGCTTTTGCTTATAAAACTGATTTGTAATGGGGTTTGTGAAGTTCTCCATAAATTTCACACCTAGCAATGTACCTACCTAATGCATTGCATTACTTCAAAAAGAGGGAGACCATACCTACAAGTTGTCAGGCAGGTAGGCTTTGACATTGATTTCAAGATTTCAAGGTGATCTGTGCTTTTTGCTTATAACTTGTCCTCATTCTCTGACTAAGGAGTGGCAATACAATCTGACTTGTTCTATTTTCCTCTTGCCTTGCCATTTTTGACATAATCCTTGCCCAGGCTATATGTTGGTATGATGAAGGTCAATCAGATGACATATTTCAAATATTACAGTCATGATTTCAGTTGAATTTGCCTAACTTTATTTAAGCAATATAAGAATTCAGGGTTACTTTTAAAGGGGGGGAAGAGGGGAATTTCCCCCCTTCGAAAATTCCGCTCCCCTTTCAAATCGTGTCTGAACGGCTAGGGAGGGAAGGGGGAATTTCCCCCTTTCAAATTTATTTTGGAGCCCATTTTCAATCAATTCGCTATTCAGATTCTATAGTCATCGTTAATCAGATTCTCGTCATCAATCAACGTTGCTGGCGTTAAGATAATTATTAATTTTCAATTTTCGGTTCCATCCAACCATTTTACGTTCAGTGCAGCAGGAACTCCAGATTTGACCCGATACCGATCGGATAGTCGGTGGGACCGTCTCTTGTCTTGTCTCTTCCGTCTTTTCGCAATCACTGACATATCGGTACAGGCGTCGGCGTAGAAACCGGCGGGGGACGGGATTACCTCTCCGAACCAAGGGTGGATACAGGGGGAGGGGGGCAATGGGCCATGGCCCCTCCTTTGACGCAAAAAGAAGGTGACCCCCTTTTGGACCCCCTTTTATATTCTGTGTTCTTTCTCAGAAACGACCCATTTATTCACGATTATTTTCACTTTTTCATCGACGCCAAGGCCAGACATCTAAAATTTTTGTCCCAATATCACAATGGCCGTGTTTAACCATCCTCCAAACCGGAATCATTGAAGGAAAAACAACGTTATTTTTGTCCCATAGGCATCAAAGCTTTGAGTAATAAATGACTTTTCTCTTTATGCAGCATTCACGTTCATCTGCTTTGCATGCAGAGCAGGGCGCAAAAAAATGTACCTCATCACAGCCGGCTTTCCCAATGGAACTTTCACTGCTCACTAATACCTACTAATAATAATAATTCAAGTTTTGTGCTTCATTAGTTTTTGTTCGGATATCACTGCCCACCTTGTAGTTGTAGAGGTTGCAGTTTTGTAGCGCCGTCGTTTCTCTACATACACGACCACACAAAGAACTTTGGAATTGCTTAACTGTAGCTTTTGTGAGCGTTTAAGAATTTCATGTTTTTTGCTCATTTTTGCTCGAACAGTTTGACATCAATTACTCCTGACCTAAGGTGACCTAAGACTTGAAATTTTGTGCGAAGGTTTCAAATTGATGCCCGGTAAGGTACTAAAAATTTGGCGGCGCTGCGCGCCGCCGTTTTTCGCTTTTCAAGAAAACCCACATGGGGGCCAAAATGACCTCCAATCAGGGCGCGGATTAACCTCTCTCTTTAGAAAGGCGTTACTTAATGTTTGGCCGGGGTATACCTACTAGTTATTGATACCACTGATAGGTTGATACTACTGATTGGCATTTGCAAGGGCGCAGTCAAGTTGGGACCTCCCCGCCCCTTACAGCCAAGGTAGGTGCGTATATTTTTTAGCAAAATTATTTTTTGGCAACCTTCCAAAATAAAGTGGCTGAAACCCGAGGAAAGAATAGGATTTGGGGGTAGGTAAGGTTCTGCGGGCTCCATCCTAACGAAAAACCTAATGGTATTGCCGCCCACCCCCCTTTCAGATGCCCCTGGATCCGCCTTTGCCCCGAACTTTATTCCCCCTCTCAACTTTTCCTGTAAAAGTAACCCTGTATAAGATTACACATTGCATAACTATAACAGCAATATTTGAGCCACCACTGGCATAGAAATTAATAGGTTGCAAAACATTACTCAGCAAGAAGAAATCAGTCATTGACAGTGGAGAAAACACATCTAGACTTGACAACAAATTACAATTGATTATTCTTCTACCATTCATGTTGGCATAAGTAATAATTCAATTGGATACTTAGTGCATTTTTCTTAAGATTTTAAGCACATGAGATCCATCCAAAGGCACAGACTCGGAACAAAGGCTGTGTTATAAACAAGGATATTGCACCTTTTTGGTATTTTAACATGTTGTTATATTCCGACATCCTAAGAAAAATAATGTGGTAATCTGCCCTGCTTCATTTGATACGTATCGATGAGTAATTGGATGTTGCGGGAATGCAGTTAGTTTTCCCGGCAGTTGTCTCCAGCAGCCACAAAGTGGCCGCTTACTTTCTGTCAAACATTTGCTTTCATATGGCTAAGTACATTAATTTCACTTAGTCTAACTTTGTCTAGCAAATCTCCAGTTTTACTTCGGAAAAAACCGGCAGCGTGTTTCACATTGGTGACCCCGCCAGGCGAGGCAGTTCCGTCGGCCGTCGATGTCCTACGGTCATATAACCCCCAATAAAACTAGCGCGTCGAACGATCGGCAGCATGGATGGTCTCACACCATCCATGGCAGGGACCGACCTCACAGAGCCACTCAGAAAACAGGAATATCGGATTTATCTGCCTCTAAACTGTAATGTATGAATGCGTCGTGAAAATTTTACAAGACAGCTGAGGTTTGCTAAGCAAGAAAAAATAGACCAGGATCTGTATTAGCGAAGAGATTAGCGATGCACGTGAAATGTGTATAGATTGCAGCATACCTAGATGTAGTCAGCGATGGATTATAAAAGGATTTAAAGCCGCTTCTTAAAGCCTACAGTCAAAACGTTTTCTGAACGTTTGTGGTCCTCAATATGATAGATATTCCATAGCAATTTAATGGGCTTCGTCCCATTAGCAAATATTGCAAAATCGTCCTCAAATAATGTTTTCTTACCTAAATGAAGTAATGTTGATCCAGGAAAAAACTTGTTACACACTCCTTAAAGTTTCATATTCCTAAACAGAAACACAGATGTGCACCGCACTGAGAAAAAAATTTACCACCCTATGGAAACTAACCCTTTTATTCAGGATAAGACTCATGCCATACTCAGGTAAACTAACGTATTTACCAACGATGCCTTAGTTCGTTCGTAACTCCTGCGATGATATGAGGCAGTACTCATCGATGCTTGGTATTTATGCTCAGGATCATGAGTATGTGGTTAGTAATCTAGCCGTGAGTAGGCTTCCAGCTCGCTGATTGGTTGAGCCGATGTGGCACCGCCGCGCACGTTTCGCGCGCGTCTGCCATTATTTCAGTTGAATTCCGTTGCTTGGTGGTGAAAGTGCGTCGTTCGCGTGTGCAGCATTTTATGGACTTGGTGTGCAGAAACTGAAACTCGGATTCCGAGGCCAATAGTAAGTATGTTCATATACTTACCTTATTAATATTTATTATTGATCAATGACCACAAGCGCAATTGTGTGTCGCGAGGAAATAGGCATATAAGGTACCGTGAGAGATGAGGGAGATGTGAGAGCACATCTCCGAAGAGATGTGATAATGATAGGTAATTAGTGAAGATTTGTGCTTTGTAGGTGTTATTTTAATAATGGCAATGGAATGCGTATTTGACGATAGTCAATGCTTTTGTTCTATGAAAAGTTTTGATGATTAAATACGTGAAAATATTATGAAAATATTTTTTTCCGCTGGGTTCCTCCGGGTTGTGTTGGATATATTAAGGTAGGGAAGTAGTTTTTTTTCTTCAAAAATGTGTCATTAAAATATACCGACTGTATGTCTCCTTTCACAGTTTCTTTTGGATATATACCACCGCACTGCTGCCGGGGCTGGTGCCGGTGCAGACGCTCGCCCCGATCGACGCCGGATGCTCGCCGCCGGGTGGCTTCAGAATGTGAAGTCTGCCTGCTCCTGTTCGATAGGTACGGAGATCTATAGCTCATCTTAACAGGTTACTAAAAAGTTACCAGATTTTTTTACTTCTTTCTGTATCTTGCGATCACAGTGTCAGTATATAAAATATAATTATGCCATCTGCATAATTTACCGCGGCATACTTTGCAAAAAGAAAAACACTAGCCGTTTTCACGACGGGTTATTTCACGACGAGTTTTTTCGATATACCTATCTCCAGAAGCGCTGCGCTGATTGTCACCAAATCCGATACAAAGCCGATCGTATTTCTTCATTAAAATATGGAAATTATATATTTTAATAAAATGGTTTTATTTTTTGCTGATCATTTTGAGCATAAAAATCATAAATCCATTGAAAAAACTAATTTCGTGAAAGTGAACTATTCCCTTTAACACACCTCGCCGATGTCTTCTGAAGTTTTCGCTTTATTTCTTAACAGCTTATTGTTTTCGGTCCATAGGTAAAGTTTCGGAGACACTGGTGCGTCTTCTGGAAACTGCAGTCTCAAGGATGGCGACGGAGAAAGTGCGCCCATGCTTTTCCATGCCCTCGCGCTACTGAGCCAGAATACCAGCAGCCAGCACCCTTCGAGCTGCAGTGCGCCGATCTCGCGGTAGGAAGCGGTTCAAAAACTAAGCGATCTCGCGCAGTGTTTGCGATCTATGGGAGTGTTTCATTGTTTTTTTTTTTAAGGACCTCTTTTAGTGTTGTGTTTAACGGATTGCGCCCCGTACCCGGCTCTTGAATTGCATGTTGGCAGAGATGTCGTATGATGGGTTTTTGTAATAAACTTCAGTGTTTTTACTCATGTTTGTCACGTTTGCAAGGCGTAAGGTTAACGAACGCATTTTTGGTTTTATGCGTTGGCAGGGGCGGTCGCAGACTTGGCGTTTGGGGGGGGCCAACTTGGCTAAGGGGCCCCTGCACTGACCCGGGGGGGCCCGGTGCTAGCTTAAAGGGGCCCACGGGCGTAGTGCATGGGTGGAGAAATCCAGCCATGGCCGGTGAAGCGGGGGGGGGGGGGGGGGGGGGGTAGGGAGCGGCACCCGAGCGGAGGCTCATTGCCAGCTTTGAGGGTGTACCATGTCGAAAAGGTAAGTTCATTTTGAAGCATTGGTAATGTCAATAATTCACGCAACTGTGAATTGACTACCGCAAAAAGTAAAACCGGCTAACTTAGCCATTTTCGAAGATACCGTGCGAAAACTTTTGACAGTGGGTCATCGGTATGTGTTCAATCAGATGTGTTTCGTTTCTTATTTTTACTCGAGCACAAATGTAAGTTTTGAAGACCATCACAGTAGCAAATGCATCGAAAGATGGATAGTACTTATCCTGAATTTGTCGTGCTGTATCGAAAGTAGTGTTGATGAGAAAAGGGGTTTTTATTCCAGATTATTGTGGGTGCACAATACATTGCCTGCACCCACTGGATAATTATTGTTGGTGCAACTGCACCCACTGCACCCATGGTTCCTACACTTATAGGTCCATGGATAACGCTTCGGCGATACCTATCGCATAGAGGCTGCAATGTGGCCCTTAGAGTATAGTGTCAGACCCCCAGAGGCCGGCGTTGGACCCAAGGGTCAGCGAAGGGCCTCAAAGGCACCAGATGGGGCCCCAGAGGCTGATGTGGGCCCTCAGAGACAAGTGCGTGACGCCCAAAGGTAAGTCTTGGGCCCCATAGAACATAATAGGGCCATCAGTGGCCGGTGTAGAGACCTCATAGGCTAGTTGGGGGCATATAGAGGCCAGTTTGGGGCACCTCAGATGTCGGTGTGAGGCCCTTAAAGACCGGTATGGGTCCTCAGAAGCCGGCATCGATCCTTCAGAAGCCAGTACGGGGCCCTCAGAGGCACATAAGGGTCAGTTTGGATCCCAGAGACAGAAATGGGACCATCAGAGGCCGGTGTGGAACCTTAAGAGGCCGGTTTGGGCCCTTAGAGGCCAGTTTAGGGCCCTCAGAGACCAGTACAGGGCCTGCAAAGGGCAGTTTGAGACCATCAGAGACCGACTTGGGCAATCAGATGCTAATGTGGGTCCTTACAGGCCAGCATGGGCCCTCAGAGGTTAGCGTGGGGTCGTAAAAGACCGACATGGGTCGGCGTTGGACCCCAGAGGCCAGCCTCAAAGGCCAAAGATGGGCCCTCAAAGGTGATGCGGGCCCTAAGAGGCCAGCATCGGGTGTTCCGAATCCAGTGCGGGGCCCTCAGAGGCTAATGTGCGCCCTTACAGCCCAGCATGGGGCCCTCAGAGGTCAGAATGAGGCCCTGAAAGACTGGCATGGGCCGGCGTTGAACCCCAGAGGCCAGCAGAGGGCCCTCAAAGGCCAAGATTGGCCCTCAGAGGCCGATGCGGGCCCTTAGAGGCCGGCGTCGGGTCTTCAAAATCCAGTGCGGGGCCCATAGAGGCTAATATGTGTCCTTACAAGCCAGCATAGGGCCCTCAGAGGTCAGTGTGGGACCCTAAAAGACCGGCATGGGCTGGCGTTGGACCCCAGAGGCCAGCGGAGGGCCCTTAAAGGGCAAGATGGGCCCTCAGAGGCCGGCATCGGGTCTTCAAAATCCAGTGCGGGGCCCATAGAGGCTAATATGTGTCCTTACAAGCCAGCATAGGGCCCTCAGAGGTCCGTGTCGGGCCCTGAAAGACCAGCATGGGCTGGCGTTGGACCCCAGAGGCCAGCGGAGGGCCCTTAAAGGCCAAGATGGGCCCTCAGAGGCCGATGCGGGCCCTTGGAGGCTAGCATTGGGTCTTCAGAATCCAGTGCGGGGGGCCTCAGAGGCTAATGTGGGTCCTTACAGGCTAGCATGGGGCCCTTCGAGGTCAGTGTGGGGCCCTAAAAGACCGGCATAGGCCGGCGTTGGACCCCAGAGACCAGCGGAGGGCGCTCAAAGACCAAGAGGGGCCCTAAGAGGTCGATCCGGGCTCTTAGTGGCCGACATCGGGTCTTCAGAATCCGGTGCGGGCCCTCAGAGGCAATTAAAGGCTAGTCTTGAGACAGAAATGAGGCCACCAGAGCCTGTGTGAGGCCCTCAGCCGCCGGTTGGGCCCCTGAGACCGGTTTAGGGGCCCTCAAAGGCCAGTGGAGGGCCCTCAGAGGTCAACGTGGGTCCTCAGCAGTCAACCTGGGCGCTTGACCGCCACTGAAGGGCCCTCAGAGGTCAGTGTAGAACCCTCAAAGACCGGTGTGGGAGCTGTTAATAGCTGGCGTGGGTTTCTCGAGCCTCGTGACAATCGAATACGGGCCAGGGCCCCATACGCCCAGGGGGGCCCATCGGTTGTTTGGGGGGGGCCAAATGATATGATGGCCCCCCCCCTGATTTGCCTTTGGGGGGGGGGGGGGCCATGGCCCTGATGGCCCCCCCCCCCTGCGACCGCCACTGTGCGTTGGCATCCGCGTTAGTAAGACCCATCTTAAATGGGTTAGTATTATCATTATTCAGAGTTGGTTATCGTTAGTATTAGCCTGAGTAAGTGTGTGGTCCACCTTGGTAATACTGTGGGTAGCGTCTTAGTAGAAGCTCAAACCTGAGTACTCAGGTGGTGAGTTTTGACAACTCACCCGGAATACTCACGTTATGTATGATCACGTTAGTGTTAACATGAGTATCTCCTGAGTACCAAAGAGTAGTTACCAAGGGAACCTGAGTAGTTGCCGTCGTGAGTTTTGACAACTCAGTTTGGGGTGGTACGTGAGTAATTTTTTTCTTTCAGTGCGTACACTGCAGCGTTACGTCCTCACCTTCAGCCCGCCAAGTAGTAACTGCCCCACTAAACGGAGAGGGACGCTATGGGACGGCAGATGGACGCCCGTCTGGTCCATGTGGAACTGAACCCTCATTGGATGAGAGGAATTAATTGAGCGTCCCGGTGGTTTTATGAGGGTAGTTCTTGACTTTCCAGTGTTTCCAGACACAGTCAACAACCAGACCGCCTCACTCTAGTCTATTTATACACCCCAGTGTCCATATGCATTTCAGCTGGAGGTGTACCAAGTCTGCCTCGCACTTTGCCCAATCAGCGCATACTGTATTCTGTCGCTTCTTAAAAATGACATAATATCTGCGGA